AGAAGAAGAAGAAGAAGAAGAAGAAGAAGAAGAAGAAGAAGAAGAAGAAGAAGAAGAAGAAGAAGAAGAAGAAGAAGAAGAAGAAAGCGAGGAACACAAAGTGGGCAGACAGCAGAGAAGGAAAGCCGAAGAGGGAGAGGAGGCCACCGCCATTCACTTGCTGAGGAAATGGTTAATAGAAACTTTAAGTGTAGGGGTGGGGCAGCAGCTGAGAACACTACCTGTACTCATTGTCCCTGTTTACTTTCTGCTCAGAGAAGGCTCCCAACCACAACGCAGAGTGTGGACTGCATCTTACGAGATGTACAAACTGCCAGGCAGCGCCTGAAGTCACAGATGTTTACTGGCTGTCACTGTTATGTGATGGACGGAGCAATGTAAAAGTCGGACGGTGTGGGTTTGTGCCTTACTGAGACAGTCCCTTCTCAGTTAATGGAAACCAAGTCCTCCCCAAGAGCCTCTAAGGAGGAGCTCCCATCCCTTAGGCATAAGTTCTATAGACGACCAAGGAAATGGGAGGCTCCTTGCCTTTGGAGAAAAGTCTAGGAGTTACTCTTGCGAAGCATTGTGGGGCCAGTCTTAAAAGGTCTCCAAGCATTTGAAGAACCACATATTATTGATGATGGTCTTTCCTAACAGTTCTTGTATGCTTCCCCCCCCCTCCCCGCCCCAAGACAGGATTCTCTGTGTAACAGCCCTGGCTGTCCTGGAACTCACTCACTCTGTAGACCAGGCTGGCCTTGAATTTACAGAGATCTGCTTATCTCTGCCTCCCAAATGCTAGGATTAAAGATGTGTGCCACTACTGCCCGGCTTGGACACATGTTTGAATCAAAGCCATAGAGGGCCTGAGCCAAGCTACACTCTGTGTTGTGGTTGTAAACCTTCACCAAGCAGGAAGTTATGGTGGACAACGAGCCCAGGTGTGTTCTCAGCTGCTGCAAGCATGTCGGCATTTGCCGCGTCTGACCTTTCCATTTACACATTTGTTTTTCCTTGGATGACCCCCTGAGCTGCACCAGCTTTTGGGGAGACTGACAGCTTGACCTGCCTCAGCTTGGAAAAAGGGAGAAAAGAAAGCTTCTGGAATTAGGGAAGACAAAACAACACCAAGCAGACCTGTCCTTGGCTTCCATGGATATGGAATAAATCTGGCTTCTTGCCTATCTGGTTAGCTGGTTAGTTTCCAATTTTCAAGAGATCTAATGCTCTTTTATTACATATGCATACAACACAAGCAGTCAAAGCTCCAGGTCCATCAAGAGTTACACAACAATAAAGAGGCAGTGTATAAAAAAAAAAATGTGAGCAGCCAGGCGGTGGTGGCACACGCCCTTAATCCCAGCACTCAGGAGGCAGAGGCAGGCAGATCTCTGTGAGTTCGAGGCCAACCTGGTCTCCGAAGTGAGTTCCAGGAAAGACGCAAAGCTACACAGAGAAACCCTGTCTTGAAAAGCCAAAAAAATAAAAAAAAATAAAAATAAAAAAAATAAAAAAAAGTGAGCTATCATAAGTGCAATCCAATTCTTGGTGTTGCTAAGTGGTCTAGACTGAGGGACCATTTCAACCCTAGACAAGCTCATGATGTAGATGGACCAAAGATAATTTGCTTAGTTGTAATAGTAATGAAGCGATTTATATACTAATAATTAAAGTTACTTTACCAATAAAAAAGCCATGTTCTCAAGAGCTTGTTATGTGGTAGACACTGTATGGTTAGTTTATTAGTTAAAAACTGATAGAGATACTATGCCAATATTGTATAACACAAGGAGGATAATGAAGTGGGTATTATTATTTCCATTTTACACATGAGGAAAATAAAGAGGACAGTCACTTGTACAAGGTTGTTATGGTGAATAATCGGTAGGGGGCAGAAAGAAGGGGCTGAAGGCTGAAACAGGAGGTACGGGTGGGCATGAGAGACCATGGTAGCACCATGGTGAGCTTCTCCTGGCCCCAGCCTCTACTAGGCCTGAGTTTCAGTTCAGTTCAGTTTCTGTTTAGATCTCAGTTTCTGTTTCAGTTTCTGTTTTTGATGTGGCGGGGAAGGAGATATCATATAGCAGGTATGATTCAGCACTTATAGCCCCAGCCAATCAGAAACATATTAATGTGGCCGCTGCTTGCTTGGCCAATCATGTTTAGGATGACCTAATCCCCTCCTGGGGTTGTCTATAAGAGGAGCCTGTGAGCTTCTCTGGGGGTTGTTGCCATTTTGTTGTGTGGCTGACCCTTGCATGCAAGAATTCTTCTCTGGAGAAATAAATGCTCTTGCATTTGCACATGTGAGCGGTGGTCTTTTGTGGGGTGGTCTGTGGACCCTAACCGGTACAGTTAGAGGCCATGCAGGTAAGTGAAGACACTTGCTTTCTTTTGTTCTTGGGGACTTTCCCTTTCGACATACTGTTGCTTGTGCTACTCTTCTGTCCAGCAGTGTTGGTTGCATCTCATGTTTAACCATCTGTTGAGATGGCAGGAGAGACTCTACAGGGCCAGTTTTAAGTTGGGGATGTAGAACAAATCGTATGTCCCACACTTGGATTGTGGCAGGAAGGAATCCTTCTTGTTTTGTACAATGAGGTTTCAAGATCTTTTCTGAATTCCCTGCAAGTGAAACCTCAGGCAGAAGTTTAATAAGTTGAGGTATTAACAACACCATGGTATTAATGATAGATCTGCATGCACTGCTATGTGCTCAGTGTAGATGTTATATAGGGAAAAAAGAAAGTCTTGGAACAACAGTGCACAGAGTGTGACTAGAAGGTGTCTATCAATCTTGAAAAATTTGGACCTGGTGGGTTCAGGGTGTGAGTCTTACTTTTGCATAGCCTTAAAAGAAAGTCTCACCAGGCAGTGGTGGCGCATGCCTTTAGTCCCAGCACTCGGGAGGCAGAGGCAGGTGGATCTCTGGGAGTTCGAGGCCAGCCTGGTCTACAAAGTGAGTTCCAGGATAGCCAGAACTATTTCACAGAGAAACCCTGTCTCAAAAACCAAAACAAAACAAAACAAAAGTCTCTGCATGTATTACATAAATAACATAGTAGATATAAAAATATTAAAAAATTAACATAGTAGAAAACAGGGGTTCTGAATACTGTCTTTAGAATCTTGTCTTCTACCCCTAGCCCCTGCCCGCTCAAGGGGTGTCTCCAGACCACAGTCTGAAAAGCAGACGTCAGTCTTCGGCTGGTCTTAGTAAGAAGCAGCACCCCCTTGGCTACAATGCAGTTTGGTATCACCCCCTTCA